TATGTATGAAGATGAAACTTTCACAAGATGTGTAATTATTAGTCATAATTCATATCCTAAAATTTCAGCTCGATCCGTCTGGCGCAAAAAAAGTCGATTTTTCAATCTCTCTTGATATGTCATCACAATCTATACTACTGTTTTTATTCTTGCCTCTAGAATTTTCTCTTTTATTACCCGTCTATATATATATATTTACTTCCGTGTGTGTGCTAGAGCTTTGGGCTTTATTATGTAAAATATTAATGTGAATACAGGAAATAAGAGCCTCAATCTCGACTTTGAATCTCCTTGGGAAAACATAGTTCATATGAATTAATATAGAGTTATATAGTAATCCGTATTATAGAATAATCTATTTTGAGAAAAAATCATTTAGATAATATAAATAACATTTACATTGTTCGTTTGTATTTGAATGAATTGATTGTAAGAAATTGTTGTTTGGTCGATTACAAAGCAAATCATCAATAAAATGATTATTTTTCCATGTGGATTCTCAGTTCCATAGAGATTGTATATATTTCTTTCTAAAGATATTTGTGACCATTAAATTATTTTCTGTGATAAAGAAAGATTTATTTTGTTGTTCTTTATATGTTAACAGGATCTCTTTCATCACAATCAACAAGATATAATTTCATTTTATGTAAGATGGTTACCTGTATAATATGAATAAAGTAACGGTGAAAGTGAAGCATTGAATTTGTTAAGAGTGTATGTGTAATGATACTATTCATATGAATTCTAATAATCAATTTATTAAAATAAAAACTAAACATTGATAGTCATAAACCATTCTTAATGAACATAGAGAATGACGAACATTCCAAACTATCCTTTATAGACGTTATTTTATCAATAATGTCAAAAAGATGATTTCTTGTGTGATTGTAGTTAAAAAATGTAAATATAAATATAATAATTTATTTTATTTTTGTTTGACTTGATATAAAAATGTCAAGTAATAAAATGAAAAATATATTGAATAAGGAATTGTTATGATTATATATATGAATGACAGAAAAGAAAAAAAGAAGTTCAAAATGTAAATGTTAATTATAAGGTAGTCCAAAATATTCATTAATGGAATTGTATTCAAATTTTTGCTGTGGTGTTTGTCTTTGAAGTTCTTTTATTTCTCCAGCAGGATATAACCAACTGTGTAAATCAGATTGTCGACCTAGACTTTCAATAGCATATGCTGTTGCTTGTACCATTTTATCAAGAGCAAATTTATTGATATTACTCGTTTTATCACACGATTGATGATAACATTTATCTTGTCGAATTCCTGAAGTTCCACCAAAACCTGCTCCGAGCATAGTATTGTATCTATTACGTTGTTCTACTGTTTTTAATGCGTCGGCTCCCGAAAAAAGTCCGCCTGCAGCTACACCCGCAGCTAAAAATGGACCATAATCACTACGACCATCGAAGTTTGTATAATCCCAAGGAAAGTTATTTCCAATAAACCAATCTTGAAATAATGTTGTCATTTTATTACTTCCAGGTTTAGCAGCGTCTAGAGCAGTACTCGGAGCTGTTTTACCATCATAAATACCAAATATAAAATTTGGTGATCCTAACATATCCAAATTAATATTAACCAAATAGTCTTTTACTCGTTCACCAACTATAGTTGATATCTTTGCTTCTGATACATGAAAATTGGCACCAAGAAGAC